CATCCCTGTAACCCACCAAGTTTTGCTGTGAAGCTAAAAATGCTCTAAAAAATAAAGTCTATTTTAAAAATTAAGGTCAATTATCTGTGGTCACTCTAAACTTTTCCTACGATTGTTGCTTTGTGGGTCCTCTCTCACCTACTTAGCAAAGAACACCCTGGACCATCAACCTTAAGCTTCAGGGGACTCTCTGACCCGCTCAGCGCTCCTCCCAACGCCCGCTCTGCCCCTTGAAGCCCCCTCATCCTCTAACATGCCACCGGGAGACTAAGTCCAAACGAGTCCAAAGTCAGGGAGAAAATTAGGTACAGACGACAGACAGAAAGGGCTGAGCGTGGCTGAGGAGATGAAGAATTCCCAGGGAAACGTGCAGGACATTCCGCAAGACACAACAAAGGAGAGAAATCTGAGGTGCTCTAAATGTGTTGGTCCACGTGATGTGAAAATCGCGGGAAATTAAATTATCCTAAAATATAAAACGTGATATTACAAACATCTCCCTTCTATAAAAAAAAAAGTCTTCGCTGTACACAGTTCCAGAACTAGACCTGGATAATGTGTTTACGGCATGTCCTCCAGCTATAAGAAGGATGATTTTTCAAAAGTTGACCAAAAATGCTGCAAACATTTTTCAACGGGAAGATATAAAAAAAGCATGTATGTCAAAGCGCCATTCCGAAGATCTGGCTCTCAGAATAAACTTTTGGACAAAACTGCAAAGATTAAATTTTTGTGATTTATTACATAAAAGAAAGGTGTATAATTTTATCTTCTGGGTTTTGTTAATCTAAGAAGTCCAACACAGGGCTACCAGTTACCAAACTGAGCCGGTCACTGGGATCTGAAACGGCCGCACGGGAAAGACCGTGAGCGGTGTGTGCCCGCGCGCCCTGGTCATCATCGAGAACGGGCCACACGCCGTGCAGATCGGGAGGCACAAGCACCAAAGGCTGGGGCACCACCGTGACCCAACTCCGCTCCGAGTGCCGCCTGAGAAGCCGAGAAGCGCCGCGCACGGGGTCAAAGGTACGTGGGACACGGAGGAGGACGCAGCCCCCGCCCTCCAAGCTTCCTCCCGCACACGGGGCAAGACGAATCGGCACTGACTACAACCCCGTCAAGGGACAGCAAGTGCCAAAACAGAGGGACAAGGAACAGACATTCGGAGACGGCCCCAGGGAGGCAGACCGTCTGGGTGCAATCGGAGGCTGGGCCTCCGGCGACCCGAGGCTCCTGCTGAGGCTCCCGCCCTTGCGTACCGTTTCCTCGCATCAGATGGGCTACCGCTACGGCAGGTGTAAAAACTTTAAAAACTATGTGTATGTTGCTTTAAAGGTTTACGAAAAACTTCTCCATACATTCTTAAACTCAAAGCTCTCTTAAGCCAGGGACAGGCTGCCACCCTCCCTGCTAGCCCACCGTCCCGTGCCGGTCCGAATGACCCTTGCCTCGTTCCCTCGTGTGGTCTCACCGATCAGGGCCGGCCTGCGAGACCAAGAGAGGACGTCAAAAACGATGGCGTGTGACTTCCAAGGAGAAGGCGCAAATGGCGCTACGGTTGCGACCGCGGGGAAGTCAGCGCGCGTGGCGTGAGGACAGCCCCACGGAAAGCCCCTCGTGGAGAGGGACAAACCTGCCAACACCGACCTGCCCGCTAGGCGACTGGGCCACTCGGGAGCGCGATCCTTCAGCCCTGGGCGTCCTCCCCAGGACCTGCACCTCCGGCTGGCATCTGACAGCAGCCTCGTGCGACCCAGACCCCAAACCGCCTGAATTGCTGACCACGGGATAATAAACAACTGTTTTCAGCCACGAAGTTTTTGATATCTTACAAAGCATCCGAGAACGAACGCATCCTTCCTACCATACAGGAGTGAGGGGAGAAACCAGCTCTGGAAGCCCATCGCTCGGCTTTAGGTTCAGTGTCCTTGTCAACAAACGATACCGCTTCGCAAGAAAAGCAAGTCCTTCCACGAGGGCGACCATTCTTACGTGATCCTATGACTGGGACTAACAGACCAGGCTTCGCACGGTACAGACACACAGCGCACGTCCCGTACGCTTGGCACGTGTGACGGGACCTGCAATACAGCTGAATCTGTGAATCTGGGGCGCTCCGTGGTGCTTCGTGGGGTTTTCACCGTCTTCCAGAAGAGTTCTATTCTTTAACGTACAGATCTTAAAAAAGACAAACCTCACATATTGTACAGCATTTTAATACTAAACAATTACATTCCTGACTTTGAAAATATTTACGCGCTTTACGATCTTAATCGCAAGCAACACTTCTACGTATCCGCTTTTCTCACTGGCCCGAGGACTCTGCACGGGCAGAATTCATATCTCAAGCACCCTTCCCATCTTATTCATCTTGAAGGGAGCAGATACGTGTTTGCTAAATCGAATACTTTTTTATGGTCGGTATGGTTACTTCCCTTTAGCCTCCTCGTAGACACCCATTTGAAATTTTTCAACTTTTCATAAAAGAAACGGGACTTTTTATTTCCCCCCACGATGGGATTAGGCACGGGAACATCATGTGCTAAAGAGCCAGATGGGCTGAGGGCAGACGGCAGTGCAACTCTGGGCCAGGGAAGAACAGGGCGAATGGGCTATTCCAGAGCGGGGTCCGGTATGAATTCTTTGAAGGGAGGATTAAGCAGACAAAGGGACAACCTGATTTTCACTCACGAGAAAGTGTGACAACCAAAGGGCAGTGATTACAGACAGCTGTATGTTCGACCTCCTCTCCGTGTACAAACACGCTGTCCTCCCCGTCGAGGACAGGAGCGTGTGGCCGTGCTCGTCGCCCTCGGGCTCCTGGAATCCCCTGCAGCGCTTCTACGACTCTGGACTGAAGTGAGGGTCTCGGAGGCAGGGCGCAGGCTCGCCTACCCCATTCCCACTAACTCAGCTCCTTACCCGCCATCACCCGTCACCTGGGCAGCTTAATTTCTGCCCCCGCATTCCAGAGCCATTCCAGAATGACCCTGACGGGCACGTCACCATCTTCATCATGCTTGATTCATGGCATTACATTTTCAACTGGGGTCTACATCTTCAAATTCTGCCATTGGCTTGAAAAGTTTGACTTAACTCTTTTTTCCCCGGAACCTCTGGCCGCTCCCCTCAGCACCCTCCATCTTTCTTTTCTTGGTTTGTCCCTGAAATGTCAGTATTCTCTAAGGTCCTTCTACGCAGCTCCGCTCAGCACGTTCACGCTTCCCCTGCCTTTAACTTCTCCCCATGGGGCGGGCTCTCAGACACCCGCACCTCCTGCCTCCTCTGCGCCAGGATCCTGCAGCCGGAGCCCCAGACTCCTCCGGCTCCCCACGATTGCTCTGCCAGCTCGTGCGTCACACGCCCAAACCTGAGCTCGTCCAGCTGGGGCCCGCGCCCCTCCCCTCCTCCCGGTCACTCGCCAGAACCCTGGGCGTCACCCTAGTGTCCTGCTCTCCCGCCCCTTCGCCA